CATGTGGTGGACACGCCGTTTGCCAAATAATCTACCAAAACCATCTGAGTTGCGACAATATCTCGGGTACGTCGTCGGTGCGGCGGGCTTGATGGTCGACCCAGGAAAGGTAGAGGCCATCCTAAACATCCCCACGCCGAGAAATGTTGGAGATGTTCGTCGACTTATAGGATTAGCCTCCTGGTACAGACGGTTCGTACCACATTTTTCAACCGTCACAGCTCCTTTATGTAATCTTCTGCGGAAGAATAAGGTCTTTGAATGGACGGAAGACTGTGAAACAGCCTTCTGTATCCTAAAAGATCATCTAGTGTCGGCACCTATCTTATCCTGCCCAAATTTTGATCTTCCTTTCTCGCTACAGACAGATGCCTCCGATTACGGACTGGGTGCTGTGCTCACTCAGGTTGGAGAGGATCACCAAGAGAAGGTCATATGTTATCTGAGTAGATCGCTCTCCAAGGCTGAACGTAAGTACAGCACTACAGAAAAGGAATGTCTGGCAGTCCTGTTCGCAATAGAGAAGTTGCGACCGTATTTAGAGGGCACTAGATTTACTGTCACGACAGATCACTTCAGTTTGAAGTGGATCAATAATATTAAGGATCCCATTGGACGTATCGCTCGATGGGCTGTTCGACTCCAACAATACGACTTCGACATCATCCACCGACGAGGGAAAGACCATGTGGTACCGGATGCTCTTTCTAGGGCCGTCCCGCGCGTGGATGCTGTCGAACCGGTTGTGGAGGCACAGCCTCCCAGGGACAAATGGTACTCGAACATGTGCAGGAGAGTGGAGATCACGCCTGCCAAGTACCCACTGTTCCGCCTAGAAGGCGGGAAGTTATTTAAACGAGTCAGCAGAGCTTATCCGGACCTGTCCGAAGAGTCAGACGGTTGGCTACTGGTAGTCCCTAAGGAGAAGAGGAAAGAAATCATACGTGATAATCATGACCCGCCTACTTGCGGTCATGTTGGTATTTCTAAGACCTGCTCCCGTGTTTCGGCTAAGTATTACTGGCCAAAGCTCAAGGAAGATGTAGCCAGATATGTTCGTCGTTGTCGAGTATGCCTAATGACTAAACCCGAACAACGGAAGCCCGCAGGACAACTACTCAGTTTAGCCCCAACTACCTCTCGTCCTTGGCAGATTCTGAGCATGGACTTAGTAGGGCCTTTGCCTAGGTCAAGTCAAGGGTATTCTTATATTCTATCAGTCCAAGATATCTTCAGCAAATACGTACTCCTATTCCCGCTTCGACAAGCCACCGCCAACAAGGTTACGGAGATATTCGAAAATCAAGTTGTCTTGATGTTCGGGGCCCCCCAAAAAGTTATTATGGATAATGGGGTGCAATTCAAAAGTAAAAACCTCCGGGGCATACTCACAACGTATAATATCGCGGCTGGCTATATTTCCAATTTCCATGCCCAAGCCAATCCCGTGGAGCGTTGTCACCGCGTTATCAAGACGATGCTATCCTCCTATGTCGCAGATAATCATCGTGTCTGGGATAAACTTTTGCCAAAGGTAGCATGTGCGATTCGATCATCTTGCCACGAAACTACCAAACTAACTCCGAATTTCATAATGTTTGGCCGGGAAATACATCTTTCCGGAAAGGATGCGAATGCGTTGGAATGTCCCAAAACCCCATTCGATCCGAAACTTCGTGCGGGAGCTTTGACTCAAGTGTTCGATGATGTAGCTAGTCGAATCAAGCAGAGTTTCGAGACCAGTCGACATCGATATAATCTGCGGAGGAGGGACGATAAATTTCAAGTCCATGAACAAGTATGGAAGCGTAAGTACGCGCTGTCCGACGCCACCAAGGGCTTTACCGCCAAATTGGCGCCAAAGTATGAAGGGCCATATGTTATCTCTAGGATAATGTCACCGTGGTCATACGAGTTGGTGGACAACAATGGAAAAAGTAAGGGAGTTTGGCATGCTAAAGACCTCAAGGCTCATCCCCCAGAGTTGAACTCTGACGACGAGGATTGAGGGATGCAATGACGAACGTACCTGACTTACGGACTTACCTGACCGGAAGCATAACCTATCCTACCTAACTACCTACCTGATGACTTCTCCAGGATCCTTCGACTAGGAACCTTATTAGCAACCCATAGCAGTTTCTTTTTTTTGAAAAAAAACTTTCTTCACGGAAGAGGGGAGTTGTTACGGTTCAGTTATGACTAGCACAAAAACCCTTTAGTTTCACCAATTTATTAATAGTATCTTAGTACATTATCATACTATCATCAGCTCACCGAGTATACCCGTACACTGGAGGTAAATGGTTTCCTGATTGAACCTAAAATAAAGAATAATATCAGTATTTACTAAGCACTCTAAAGATTGAATCTTCATCACTAAACTTAACACTCACCATCTTCCTTCTGCCAACCGATAATCCCTCATGATCCTTGGGTTGATTTCGTCTCATAAGTTCCCTCTATGGGTGTAGTTCTCATATACGGATGTTTCCGTATGATTCAATAGGTATTGATCACTGTTAGGACTCCTTAAGATTATGAAGTAGAGTGTAACTTCAACTTTCCACCTGGAAAATACCACCTTTATTGTTCAGCTGTTTAGTGGGATATAAACCTTACCTTGGTAGTGTCACCTTGCTTGAGGGGCACAATTAATCAGGATAAACCGACAGTACCAGGTGAGATTGTCCGATGGTATTATTGGTAATTGTTATTGTTATGATTGTATCATATTTCCAGTCCATCATATTTATTTAAACGTCAAAGTAGTTATCAACTTGTCAATGTCTGATTGATGACGTAAGTGACATATGACACCTCTCCTGTATTTACTGCAGACTGTCTCTAGACAATTATCGTAGTCACAGATCGTAGTTCGTGACGTAAACGTCATCAACTTGATGGATGTCATTGTTGAGACAACTGACATACGATTAGAAACTTCCAAAATCATGACAGGTGGTTAGCTACAAAGTCTCCCATCTCGCTTCATCCTGGGCAATAATATGAAATAGGGCTTGGGAATACCTTTTGCGATTTAGCCGGTCCTGAAGAATGTTTTATATGATGACGGATAGAGCGGTTTTCTCTCCTTTTCTAGATTTTCTATCTTTTTGTGACGGATTCTGGAAAAGAAAACGTGCTCACGCTTCTTAGCGGATTTTTCCTAAAGAGATTCAGGATATTGAACAATAGTAATCGAAATTAGCTTTAATTGGATACTATCAACAAGATTGTTGGATATACAGTTCATATTCTATTGAATCTCCATCATTAAACTTCGAACACGAGTTCGACACATTTGGCCACCTACAATCAAAGGTAAAGTACCAACCTAGCATATCTTTTCTCTCCTAGCTATTAACCTGCCTAACCATTGCTTATCATTCTGCTGCTTGCCATTTTGCTTTGCTTAGACAAATGTATTTTCAGGCCTTTTTGTATGTTGCTATTCTGCATGCTTATATAGCCACCAATAGCTTATCTGGCTATCACTCAGCCTGCTTAGAGAATAGTTGAGCTTAACTAGCTGGTAGCTCAGTGTCAGGTCTGCACGGATCCTGTGTTGGACCTATTGGGGAGTCTTGGACCTTTTGTTGTGACTCCAGGGAGTTATCCAAGTCCTCTGCAGAGGAACTGGTGCTTCAATTAACAAGGTAACCCTAGATTAGCCCTGTAACCCCCTTGTGGACCTCAGAAGGGATAATAGGCCCTGCTAGAGAATCGGCCCTGAAATCATTACAAGTTTACTGTGTTCGCTTGTCGTCATTATCACCAGAAGGATTAGCTTGACCGGAACTCAAGCTAGGCTGCTTAGTTTGTAGATATTTGTATAAATTATAGGTACTTACTGTAAACATATTGTACATAGGCGTCAGTTTGAAAGTTCAGGTGTACAACTTTTCACAACCATTTCTAGAATTTATTTGGCGATCCAGTGTATAAATAACTATCACTACCTCCCATAATTGAGGATATCAGCGGAACTATCATAACTATCCAAATTTTATGTGTGGGTAACTTATCTCTGATCATAATTATCATGAATGTTATGTTATATTATGTAAGTTTAAATAGGTTAGAATAGCGCCTGTCATTCTTCTCATTTTTTTGACGACCGCTGCCATTAGGGTACATTAGGGTACATTAGGGCTTCAGAGTGACCAGCAACCAACGCAATGATAATAACCGTAGGTTAGTCAATAATAACCATTGTAACCAACCACTTATTCGTATATATATTCCATATTCCTGCTGAACAATTGATATAGCACACACATTGGTGGAACAATATATTTATTATAATTATATATGTTTTCATGGGACTTCCCTAGAGTATTCATTTTATTGAACCACCCCTCTCTCCTGAGCTAGACGACAAATTTATTCTTGCCTTGTGAACACCAAAAATAGTCCACAGAGCAACACATCATTTTTGGTCATTACAAGATTTGTCTACACCTAGACCAGTTACATCATTAACCGCTTCACACAAACCATTATCAATGCTTTTGACGAATATCCTGAGGATTGGGCTTCGAGCAACACAGAAAAAGCGAAAAATTTACGTCGATATGCAGCAACTCCTTGAGCCGATATCACGTTTCAGAGCTCAACTTTGATCAATGTGCCTCAAAATCAAATGCATTCGAGGGATATCCACGAACGACTTTTTCTGTCCTTCGTTCCAACTTGAGGGGACTAAAACCCATCGAACCACTGAAGATACAGTCATCAACACCGCAAGAACAGCTTTGAAACAGACTCCAATAGAGAAATATTCACATTTGAAGTGGATTTGGATGTGCTCGTTTGCCCTAATAACATGGGCTTTAATTTTTCAAGTCGTTCAACTGCAGGAAAGTCCCCTCACGATTAGAGTTGTGCCTGCACTCGTTTAACCTTCACCAGTTTATGACAAGGCAAGAACATAATGCTCAGTGTGTTGGAGAAAAATGTAACCTTGGTGGACGTGGCTAACTCATTCGTCAAGCCTGATGCCACCCACGGAGAGGTCGACACCACTGGCTCAAGTTGCTTTTTCGCTCTCTACGGAAGAGAGGAAGGCGCGAACATTCGTCACGCACATGGCACCAAGTGGTGACGTGGTTGATGGTGGACAATTAGCGAATTGCACGAGGATGGACGAAAGGCCGAGCAGGGCTACCTTCCAAACCCATATACGGCTCAACAAAAGAGAGTGGGTGCACTCACAGGACAGCAGATCTCGTGTGCTTGGGACTGTGCTCAACTTGCTCAGGAAAATTTTGTCTAAAGAAACTGGTCATAGAACTGGAGGATTTCAACGATAAGGCCGATATCGACGATTCAGCTCCCATCAATTGCCCTCCTCGACCAAGTCAGCGAGGAACCTGAGCCCTTAAAAAAAATACGTTGATCCCCCTCTCTTTTCCATCGAACATTTACATGATTCAGATGTACACAGATCTATTTCTCCCTCATCATTCAATTTTATGCTTGATTATTCAGTTTATAATTTCATCAAAATATGTTGAGCATGATGTGTATGTGTATATGTATAAACATATACTTACGTATTATACATATGAATTTTTATCGAGAACAACATTGGTTGTTCTCTTCCGCTCAGTTCCATTTCTCGAAAAATAAAATTTTATTATACATTTGGTTTTTGAAGAAAACAATGGTGCTTGAGCCTACACGTTTGACTATGAGCTCGAATTGGAGCCATATAGATACACTCCACCTCTAATACTCATAACTTTTCTCTTAGGGTGAGTGTTAGAACCGATATTTTGATCAGAAGAGAGACAAAAACAGCAATTTTCAACTCTTTGAAACGGAAGTCAATTTTGGGTCCTGTATCTTTGCATGTATTGGATCTAAAGGAATGGAATTGAACTCAATATGTAGGGAATTTATTCAGCTTTCAAGAAGGTATGACAAACTTTTTCTGTAGGAAGCCCCTCCATGGAACTTTAGGGCTTAAAACCGAAATTAGTAAAAACATTTCGACGTTTTTCGAGCATCACACTTCGAGTCTAGTTTTTTAGAAGCCGCAAAAACTATTGAGTGGAAGCCAAATATTATGCAAAGAATTGGAATGTGCGAATTTATGTGAACTAGGGTGTCTAAATTCAGCGGCTTATACTCGCTATTGACTATACATAGAAAGTCAGCTCTTGTTCGTTTTTTGAATTCGCGTTTTTGTTTTCAAATTATTGAAAGTTGATGTAGGAAGCTTCTGAATTATTGTTCTTAAGAATTGAAAAATCTATACTTCCTGAAATATTTTTATTTTCTCCCAAATTGACGTGGATAAAAAAACATCGTGTTGGGAAGTGACCATACTTCCATTCAAAAATAAGCTAATTTTATACGCTTACTTTTGCCACAAGGCTTTAATGAGTTGAAGGCGAGATAATTATGTTGTTTTCCCCTGTATAATGATCAAACGATCAGCTATTTCTGTGAACTGAAATTCACGACAACATTGCCAAAACATGGTTTTACGATTCAGTCGGAATTTCACCAAAACCAAGAAAGATACATGGTGATCAATTTGACAACATTATTTTCTGGCTGTTCTTTCGCCGGTGAGTATTTTCAGTCCATGAAGAGAATCGTGGTCGATGACAGTTACAGATCGAAAATAAGGTAACCCACTGACTTTATATCTCAATATCTACCGATATATCTACTCATCAAATGAAGTTTATCAGGATCGAACTTAGCATGTTATAGTTATAGGGGTGGTAAGTCCTTGAGGTGGACAAACTGTATATTATAATCTAGTGCATTAGAACTCATGGATGATTGCTTTATTACTTGGCCGGCATAAAATGATGTTCATTATATTTTTCAATAAGTAAGTATAGAATTCTGAATGATATTCATGTTTGCAGAACAAGGTCAGATATATGGGAGAGATCTTGCATTCTGGTGACTTGTTGCAACCATATAGCTACTATAAAACTCACTTTTGATGACGTCGAAATCGAAAACTCTTCAGGAATGCCTCTGTCTCCACCGCCACCCTTACAAAACTCGGTTCTTATCCCTTCGAGCTGGAGAATTGAAGAAAAAACTGAGGATTTTTCACTGTGAGTTTCCAAAAAATATTACTAAACGAGAACCATGAATATGTGTTGTGAAGTGGAATATTTGTCTCTCAGATTTATTCAAAATTCTCAAGCAATAATCAACTTCAATTATTTTGTTTTAAATTGATGAATACATTTAGGGTGAGTCAGAACTTACCAACCATAGCCTGATGGCACATTTTGTAAGGCACAATTCGATCAAATTGTTAATGAAATATCGAACAAAATACTGATGAACGTGTTCAATATTTCCCTACCAAATCGAAGTGTGCCGTACAAATTGAAAATCCACAGTGTGAGCGTTTTTCATTCAATTTTTATTCCATAGTAGGCCATCTTGTGGTGTATGAGTAGAGGTTTTTTGCTGGTGAATTTGAGAAGATAACATTTAGACGTTCCTGAAATATTGTTTCCGCTCAGAATTCAAATAATCCTTTGTATTTCTTCAGGCGATTTCACATATCTCACCTCAACTTTCTCTATTCGTCATTAGGCGATGGCTGGTTATTCATGACCCACCCGTATTTTCACCATCAGAATATTTTTCAAGATTTATTTTCATTGTTGTTATCACTAGTTTGACTCATGATGTTAATTGAAATTATCTTCAATTAGACTGATCAACACACCACAATCAATATGTTTTGTGTAACAGTGATATACAGGTTGGTTAGACAGAAACTTTTAACCCCGATCTTAGGGCTTCACTTTTTTTTTATTTTCGTCACGCAAGCACTATCTGTTCAATTCCCTTCAGGTCATGGTGAATATTCAACAAGATTTCAACTGTGTCAAATTGTTGAATATTTGCGATGAACTGAGGTGAAAACTAACAAATGAATGAATACTTTTCGGATCCTACTCTGATAAGAATAATAATTTCCAGGTGAATTCGACATTGCCTCTTCCACTTTTTTATCTCTCATTTCGTTATGGATCGAAATTTGTACGAGAAATCGGAGGGTCGAATAGTACTCGATGAAATCTCCAAAATGGGGTATCGCAATACCAACTCATCCCTATTCAGAATCCGAGGGTTGTGCTTTTTCCTGATAGGGAGTTGAAGTTACGGAGGTGAGAAAAGCAGACAAGTCGTTTCCCCTCGAATCAAATATCGACAGATCTGAGCGTTTTTACGGATTTCCATTGTGAAGCCCTGGAATCGGGTTGTAAAATTTTCGTTGGACCACCCTGTAGATAACTGACGCGGCGTCCTAGGTGGGCGAACTCGAAGCGAATGCGAAGAAAAGCGGCGCAGCACAATTTTGCTCCGAGCGGAGCAGTGTAATGTGGCTGAGCTGTCCAACGTACCTACTTCGCTCCCTATGTGTGTTCGCGATTTGCATTTTCGTGATTGCAGAACGTATGACTTTCCTGCTCGAAAACTCATTTCTCAAATACAAATTTCAAAAGAAATATCGATGTTATATCATATATATCTACAAATTCAATCATCATCATCATCGAGCGTCGACACCGTTTCGCCTGTTCCCACGTGTTCTTTGCTTGCCGCTTGCATTCGTTCACGTAGCACACTTCAATGTTTTCGTGGTTTGATATTTTCGCTTCGCGTTCGCATAGCATTCGTCCACTAGGACATCGCGTAATCATATCATGAATTGATTCCATATCGATGTATATTACCCATTCGAGATCATATGAATCATATCTTTCAAGCTACATCAAGCAAGATTCGACTAAAATCGATGAAACAATAAACTGAATACACAAACATACATCGACTACTACAATAATACTTCAAAAATCTCAACTACATATTTTGACAACTAAGTTTCCATCTCTAGTAGAATTGGAATAAAAAATTAAGATTAACTGACCATACCTCTCGATATTGGAGAGCCAAGAGGGTATAGGTACAGATTCTTCAGACGATAGATGTTATGCTATGTGTCAAGTGGTGGTATGATTTCTAGACTTGTTTCATAGTTTGAGACTATCTTATGTTCAGGTAACACATTATCGTTTTTGTACGTCTAATTTCTCTTGAATCCTCAATGCACATCAAAGAAACAGCCAGATTATTTGAAATTGGGAATTGGAAGTAGACCGTTACCTACGTATTTTTCGATTTGTTCTTGGGGTAGAGTATTTGCGAAAGACAGTGATAATGTATTCATCATTATTTGTTTCCTTACATTGATGTTGTTGCATGTTACATCTACCACTCAACTTTTTTTTTCTGGAGTGCATGAATAAAATACATAGATATGGTTCAACGCAAAGAGTAGTGATTTGAAAGAAATGAATCACTTACTGATTTCCTTGGATTGTAGAACGCATATGAATGAATATATGTTAGGAGGGAGTTTTGGCCATTGGCGAGTCAAATGCCGCTGCCAAACACCACCGCACAGGGAGCTTGGGCAGTGGCCTTGGGCGTGTGGTAAAGCGGTAGTCTCTCTGAAATTTGACAGCAACATTCCTCTATTGGAACTGTTCAAGATGGCATGATATGAGAAAAAATCAAGATCTGAACTTGGGAAGAAAATCATGTTTTATTATTATTTTCAAAAAGTTCACTTCATGATCTCTTTCCTCGAGAAATTTCATCGAATTCAGAAATATTAGACAGAACGCCATGAAAGTTGCTCTTCAATTCGCACGGCACACTTTGACTGGTTCAATGAAAAAATATGTAACCAAAACTTTCGAAGGGATTTTGGCTGATAACTCAACTTTCAACTAGATTCGTGTTATTTTTCAGAAGATAAATTGACAGGAAAGAGTATTCGAGAAAGAATAGGACAGTTCTAATAAGAAGAAAGAAATGGACAGTTCTAATGAAGAAATAATTATGTAATTGTAGGCCCTGCTTTGCTTTCTGTGGCTTGTCGTGACGTTTGTTGATAATCCGAACGAATAGGCACGAACTGGTGAAATTATGAGGATTTTCATGTGCTCGAAGATTTATCGAATTGCTTATGCCATCACGCGTGAACTGAGCTCCATTTGTTCATGATACCCTTCTTCAATATTCCCAATTATGTTCACCCTCGTGAAGCTTGCACTGATACGTATTGTTGGGTCTGGATATCTTCCATGGTATTGAACATTACAGCATTTGAATGTATTACATGTTCAGCATACGAAAAATGAAGTGGTATCTTGGGTGCAAACATATTTCGATCACCAGTGATTATCAACAAACGCCACGTCACATCATAAATTAAAAAACAGGACCTTCTTCAATACAAATTCATGAAATGAAGTCACGACTAATAATATTTCTGATATATCGGCCATCAAAGTCATATAGAAATTAAACTTTGTACCCTGTTTTTGCGTTATGAATGGACAACGCATTTTTTCATATAGCTACACTTCAACTCGTCTTGATTTCTCTGAATCACTATATCGTTACGTGAGTCTCCTCATAAATCACCCATATGGTGTTTCATTTAGATTAGTAGAAGTTTATGTCCCAGCATGACAAAAGGAGGACCCTGTATACCATCCAACATTTCAAATCCAGGTAACAAACCCAGACATTTTTCCATATCTCCTGAACAAAAAATGTTGTTGAAGTGTTCAATTTGCACACTGCTTTACCTACCTACTTCAAATCCAACTCATACCTATTCTGAAAATCCAATATTATCGTCAATAGTATATATTCGTTATTGATTCTTTCAGATAATTCGAGATTTTGTCTTCTTGTTTCGATGAAATGCAAATTTGGGTACTATTTCAATAAAGCAACGTGTACAAAGGCCAAATCAAATGATCTGCCTCAAAATATTACTGCGTTCAAAAATTCCACTATTAAGGAATCAAAAAGGAAGAATCAATCGATTGACATCTTGTTCTGTAAAATGTTCGAAGACGATAATTTAGATATATCGGAATAATATCAGATTTTCACATATCTTTCGATGTTTCGGAAACGAATCTGCTCCAGTTTTGAATGTGTCACTGACCTGACGATGGTTGATTTTTTCTTCTTGGTTCTCTGATAGTGAAATCTCCAAACGCAGTGACATTTCAGAACATACATGTAATATTATCTCATCACACGTTCATTGAAATAATGCTCATATTTTCAGTTCATGGAATCGAGGAAAAGAAATCCCAAAAATATTTAAAAAGTTTAAGTACTGACCACCTCCTCGATTAACTTCCAGACAGTATGTGTACTGTTTACATGAATTTATGTACGTTTTAGAATGGGGCCTTCGGGCTATCTGCCTCCACACCGCGACCTTTTCAGATCTATTGTGTCTATTTATGTACGTTGTGATATGAAGTACCTTTTCAGGATTGATTCTCAGCAGGGTGGGGATATTGGAGATATTTCAAAAAAATCCAGGGAAGCACAATTTATAATGGATAAAGATTCATTAGGAGAGCAATACAATGAATATGATATCAACTTCAAAATCGCTAAGCTCGAATGCAAGAAACTGCAAGTGAGTCTTATCATCTAATTCTCACTCATGTAAAATATAATATTTTGCTTTTTTAGATGCAACATCATGTGGAGAGAAATGCTCCTTACCTAGCTTTAGATATACCTGATATTGAAGAACTCACACTGTCTCCGAATTTACCGATACCGAAGAAAAAGAAAATCAAAGATATTGTAGATAATACCAAGAGGATATTAGCTGATGCATCTATGAGAAACCAAATATTTTCTGAGTCTTCGTCAAGCAGGTCCAAATCATCGAGAAGTAGTATTGTTGAATTTCCATATTGAGTTAGTTGTTGGAATATATGGCAAAAGCAATCAAGATTAAATATATCCAGAATAATAGTCTGTCAATAGCCAGTGCCAGATGAGACCAAATTCGCTGTGCCTGTTCTCGGGATGTGTTATCAATCTTTGCATATTCATCATGAAGCTGAAATAAATATGATCAGAAAAGGTAAAAGGAGAATATAGCAAACACTCACATTCAGTTTCGGTAATATTAGGACAACAGAAATCACCTTACTCATTATTATAGTTGCAATCAGATGTGATACCGGACTTCTATGTTTAATTCTTGTTATATTCACCACAAATATGGCCATTACTAGTGCTATCACCAGGGCGACTAATGTGAAACTGTAGAGTGATACTGAAAATCAAAAAAAAAATAATGAGGTTTACTATTGTATATGGAATGCAACGTGTGCGCGCGTGAAGTATGAACATGAAGATATGAAGATATCTTGTAGCGTATTCGATTACACATTGCGCATATTATTCCAACTTTTGTCGTGCGTGTGTTCGGTTGGTATGCACTCAGACACAGTGCTGCCAATGTCTGTGTAATTCAAGCCCTATCTGTGCAATTGCTGTGTAATGCCATTTTTCTGTGTAAAACCGTGTAATTCGGTAATATTTGATAATATTAATGAGCCTTAGCACTTAGTACTATTGAGATATTGAGAAGAAGAATTTTAATTTCCAGGTGTGGTGCAACTGCAAAAGGATTCTAACATTTGTTGCATTGTTGGCATTGTTGCTTTTGTTTTGAGAGTGTTCTGCTCCGGAGCGCATGTTCTAGCTTCACTATTGGTGGAATTTGACATTTGACACTTTTGTCATTTTTCAACCAATGGTAAAACTAAAATTAGTAAAATTAGAAGCCATGGACCAACACACTCCCAAAACTTAAAACGAAAAGTACAGAAATATGACGAGATTGACGAGTTTGAACATTGAACTGCTTGAAGTAGTTTGAACGTTTGAATTCATATTCGGCCTTTCCGCTAAAGTCATTTGAGTAATATTAATATAATATATCACGTGGATAAAGATAAATACAGTTCTCAGTGTACAAATAGTAGATGTAAAAGAACCAGAATGGATAAGTGGTTGATTAAAGTGAGTAAAAGTTATTAACCATTTCAAAATATGAACCTCATTAATGAATTCATGTATGAGCTTCCTGAATCATTCTGTTGATATGGCAATCAACATTGAGCTGTTTATACTGTTTTCAGAGACAATCGGAAAGTGGACTGTCTACTGGGTCTCAATCAAAAAGTGAACAGTTTACTGAGTCCCAACTGAAAAGTAGACCATCTAGTGAATCTCATCCAAAAAGTGGATTATCTACTGAGTCTCAGTGTGCGAGTGGACTCTCTACAGAAGCCCAATCGAAAAGTCTAATATCTTCTGAGTCCCAACCGAAAAGTGGACCATTTATAGAATCTCATCCTAGAAGTAGATCATCTATTGAATCCCAACTAAGAAGTGGACCATCTACTTCATATGTGAGGAGTAGACTCTGTTCGGAAACACAATTTGAAAGTGAACCATCTACTCACGCCCAGTTAGAAAGTGGAGCATACAGTGAGGTGGAGAGTGTGGAGACAGATATTGGTCACTCTCCACAGTCTCCACGGAAGAAGGTTGAATTACAAAAAAAAGTGCAAAGTCGGTATAAGTTCTTGAACGATTGGTTGAAAGATAAAAAATTTCAAGGTTGGCTGTCAAAAACAAATTTGAAGAACTATAAAGGTGATGAGTTTGCTTTTTGTCAAGCATGTAATCTGAAGATACCATCACAAAAATCATGTCTAATTCGACATCGTAACACATCCAAGCATATGAATAACTGGAATCGTTTATCAGAAAATGTGAAAATAACTGATGTATATAAAACTACTCCTCTAGAGGAAAACATTCGAAGAGCTGAATTGAAATTATGTGGCCTTCTAGCCTGTAATAATTTACCTTTTCTTCTGATGGACACCTTAGGGCCCTTGTGTCGTCAGATATTTCCTGATTCCCAAATAGCCAGAGGGTTATCTGTCAAGAGAACCAAAGCTACTCACCTAGTAAATGAAGCTCTTGGAAAAGAAATTCTACACAAATTATATAAACGATTTCAGGACAGAGCATGCTTTTTTTCTATTGTTATGGATGAAACCACTGATGTTTCAACAAAAAAGCAGTGTGCATTCACAGTAATTCATTTCAATAATGAAATAAATGAAGTGGTTACGAATTTTTTTGATATGGTAGAGGTTCTTTCAGGCACTGCAAATGATCTTTATGAGTGTTTGAAAAATGATATTTCAACAAAAAATATTCTATTTGAAAATTAAATTGGTTTCTCCTCTGACAAAACTAATGTTATGTTTGGAGAGCATAACTCAGTTTATGCATTGCTCAAACAAGATAATACCAATATATGTTGTATCAAATGCTCTTGTCATTTGATTCATTTAGCAGCTTCTAAGGCCCGCCTAAAGTTACCACGATCAGTGGAAGATCTACTACGAAATGTTGGGGCCATAGAAATAGAAATTTCTCGACATGCAATTCTAACAGACGGAATATCATATGAGTCAAGCTGTAGCGAGAATCGTGACAATTTTCTCGAGAAATTCAAATCACTGCCCAAAGCAGCAGCATGCAAGCCAAGAAGTAGAACAAAATAGAACACAGCAATTCTAACTAATACGACAATTGAAAATTAATCTGGAACGAGAGGAAGTGACAAGATGAAGAAACATACAAATTTGACAAATAGCGCGAATATTCACACACACTCTGGAAACTTTGAAAAATTCAATATTCAAAACATATTCCTGATTTTTTGGTTATTACTCGAGAATCGAAGATCCCTTGTTTCCTTAGAGAGAAATGGAGTCGAATATGTGTATAGTGACGGACAGTCTTCTCTTGTGCTCACACTCTGAAATCTTTTTTGTATTGCATGATTTCAATCAGAACTGGATTAAAAAAAATAAGTCAAACGTGCGAACGGCAGGTCTTCGCCAGACAACAGATACGTGGATTCTTAATAGTTACAGACAGTTCAATTTCAAGTTCAATCAATTAACAAAAAAATTACTGGCACTTGGATACTTGAGAAGACCAAATATTTGGAAAGGTACCTGAAATTCAAAACAAAAATTCTGAAATAGTGATACAAAAATATCTTCTTGAATTGCAGTGATAGAACATGTAAATGAATGAAACCATATCGAGTTTCAGACCAATTCATTAACACAATCAACAAGGTTCATAATGACCAGTATAGATACCAGAGGATACAAAATGTGTATCATAAACTATTATGAAATATCATGAAATATAAGATATCATGAAATAGAGCGAAATATAACCATTAATCAATAGTTTGAATTAGATCACAATTATTTTACACTTTATCAAAATCCAAATTATACCATGCTATTTACCACCTATTCAAATGAACAAAGTTTGGCTTCAGCAATTATCATAACCCAACTATGAAGCGGAATGTATAAATCTCCAAGAATTCATAGGACAATAATCTGTCAATGACCTGAACGGCTGTCTCATAGTTACTATACAAGAGCATCATGTTCTTCAAACATTTTCATGATGAAAATTCCAAAAATTCAAATGTGTTATAAAAAAATTTCCATAAGTGAAATGGTGAATACAGATTTCAAGAAATGGTGACGGATTGAAAAAGCCAGGGGTCTATTCTCAAACTGTAACATTTAATGTCGCATGCGAGATATTCACTTTGTCGAACAAGAATTGTATTTGTCTATTCTCAAATGTCGCATTCGAAAATTTTTGATAGAAAAATTGTCGAATGGTGTCAAAGCAGTCGACAATCAATGTCGAATGCGACCCATACGAATCCACGAATTCAACGATAGATTCTCATCAATTTTATAGGTTAAGAATTTGCGAAGCAGTTAAACAAAGTCAACAATGCTATGACATGGCAGCTTTATTAGCAGCAATTGAAAATCTTGAAATTCAAGAAAATTATCAACGTCCTCGAGATCGACAAGGCATATATAGAAATCTGTTTTTGACTCTATCTGATAGGAAGTTTGTAAAAACATTCAGATTGTCCAAAGATTTGACTCGAGAGCTCATCAACGTTTTACAACCATTTGTGGAACAGGGCATAGGGTTTCAGCCATACCTCTAGAAGAGAAAGTAAGTTTTGTAGTCATTTGTGTAGATAATAAATGTGTAGACAATGAATCTATGTTTATATATACCTATAATATTACTAGTGGACTAGTTTTATCTCTAACGTGTCAGCAACGACTTCCCTTCCTCATATAATATTATATATGACAAGATTTATTTTCAATTTCCACAGGTTCTTGTGGCATTACATTTTTATGCAACTGGTTCCTACCAAAGTGCTGTAGGAGACAATAAAAGTTTTACACTGTCTCAGTCCTCTGTAAGCAGATGTGTGGATGACATAACAGTAGCTCTAAATTCTCCAGGAATATTGTCAAGAATGGTTAAAAACTATAATTTTATTGAGAATATTTGAAATTCTCATTTCATTCAAGAACAGTACAATAACCTAGTCTAGATCATATTCTTAAAATTATGAAGCTTACAGGATATCAGTAGAGAATTACGATATTCAGAGGAAATTATAGTTCGGATTTCAATTTTATTATTATTCAAGTAAAGTCGCTGACGGGCAGAAACTGCTGGTTTTGGATTTTTCCTAATCGAGGTGAATACACTAGTTTTTATGCTGAATCAATTACCACTACCAAGATGAAAAAGTATTAGAGAAAAAACCGGCAGTTGTGGTTCGGACAGTGGACCGTAAAGTCTTTTTAAATGTTCTAATAGAAAGTAAATCTCAAACTTTGCATCATGTCTGAACTTCGTGAGTGGCAGTTCCAATCCTCCAACGAAAAGCGAGCCCTTCTGTAAGTACCTTTTTTGAGTATTACTAGTTTTAGTTTTCCTGTTTTGTTTCGATTTGAGTGGATGTATCTTGCTGGATAATTAATGGTCAATTTATTTCCTGCCCTAATTGTTTGTATTCAGAATGAATAAACTTGTGAAGTGGAGTTAATTTATTTAGTTATCATTTTTAAAAAACCTCTTGCAAGCGAGTAAGTCAGAGTTGCGATAGTGGGCGTTAGAGCCACTCGTGACAATATTGTCAAGATTTGTTAAATTTTCTAGAAACATCGATGAACTGAATGCTACAAGAAGGAGGTTTTCAGATACCATGAAAATATATACTTGGCTGCCTACAATAAAGTGTTTTTCTAGATTTCACAATGCTTTTGGAATGCCAGGAGTTGTGGGTTGTATTGATTGTACACATGTTGCAATTGTACCCCCAAAAAAACGTGATCCGGTAGCACCAGAACATATTTACGTCAATAGAAAACAATATCATTCAATAAATGTTCAGTTGGTGAGTTACTTCTATAGACCAACCTATACAAATTTTTTGAACACTGATTTTTTTCAGATATGTGATATAGACATGAAAATTCTGCATGCTAATCCAAAATATCCTGGTAGCACTCATGATTCCTACATATGGAATAATAGCAATATCAAAGAATTTTTAGAACAGCTCCTTCAGAGAGGATATGAAGGATACTTTCTTCTTGGTAAAACATTTACTGAATTAATAGTAATTTTGTTTGTCAGAACATCATTTTTATAAGTATGTTGTTTCGTAGGATTCTTAAAATATATTGTTCTTTTTACTTCATGATTCATTCACCCATACTCACTAATTTAATTTTTTAGGTGATTCTGAATATCCTCTTCGTCCATGACTCATCACACCATTGACTAATCCTGTTACAGAGGCAGAAGAGAGATTCAATGAAGCTCAAAAAAAGGCAAGGTGTACCATTGAAAGGTGTAATGGCTTATTGAAAATGAGATTTAGGTGTCTATTAAAACATAGGACATTACATTATTCACCCAATACAGCATCCTTAATTATTATTAATGCATGTATAGTATCACATAATCTGTGCATAGATAATAATGTAGAATTACTCTTGGATGAAAATGAACAGCAGTTAGAAGAATTTGATTTTCGTCTTCTGCCTCATATAATTACATTACAGAAATGCTCAGAGGAATCCATTATTGAGGGAGGGTATGAGGCTACAAAGAAAACTTATCAATCATTATAGATAAAAAGTGATGTACTTTATATTTATTTTAAAAAAATATATCACTGTTGTTTTTTGAAACCAGTCTTTTATTTTCAGACTTTTTCCCCCATAGAAATATGGCTCCAAAGGCAGTGAAAACAACTAGAAACTAGAAAACAAAATTGATTGAAAAAACTAAAATAAATTATTGTAATGTAACTTCAAACTCTAAGAGTTACTCCACACAAAAAATACCACTAAAAACTGAAAAACAAAATAACATTCAAATGCTGTGAACTAGAAGAACAAAAATAAATATCTCAGATACTTTTTTTTTTTTTTTTTTTATCGCTTGGAGCGCACGAGAGGGAATCCCTATAATGTTCAAAGAACATCGTGCGTTCCTAGGGAGGATAGGGACAGGAGGTAGGTATTGGAATTTTTTTTGAACTTTTGGAGATTATATGTTGTTGGGAACACTTCCACAGGCAATGAATTCCAGAGCCTAGCCGTTCTATGGATGAAGGAGTCTTGATAAAGTGCTGTTCGACATCTTTCGAGGTTGACAACGAAAGGATGTGCTGACTGGGCTTGTCTAGTTCGTCTGATTGGTATTGC